AATGGTTGATTTAAGTTTTGTTACATTATATTGGCAAACCCATTTTCTAGATAATTCAAGAAAAAAACAACCACATAAGTGTTTCAGGCTGTTTGCCCTCAGCTTGGTGCAAGGCTGTACCTCAACTACCAAGGTCCAAAAGACTTCCTAAAATAATCGAGAGAAATTTGTGTAATTATGCTAGACATGTGAGAAAGGTAAGAGAAGAAATATAAAAAGGTCAGGTGTTGATATTAAAAACAAATAATATGCTCAGGTTATCTGTCAAGATATGCCTTTTGTTTTCAATATCAACACCTGATCTTTTTTTTTCTTACTTTTTCACATGTCTAGTATAATTAGGCAAATTTGCCTTACCTACCCATTTCTCGATTTCTTAGAGAGCCTCTTTGAACAAATTTTTGGTCTCTTAAGTACAGACTGCTCAGAAAATTATATTCTAACAAATTTTAAACTAGACGTTATGTTGTCCAAATTGGACATGGAACTACTTTTATATGTTTAAAACATGTTTGTGCTCGAATGGCTAGACAGACTTTAATGATAGTAAAAAGGCACTTAAAGTAACCATGATATAGCAAACCTTCCCTTGTAACGAACCTAAGGTAATCCCAAATTTTGTGCATGTTTCAACTCACAGCTTTAATTGAATTTAAAAAAGAAAAAAAAATGCAAATAACTTCAAAATAAAAAAAGAAGAAAAAACCCTGGCAACTCCAAGGTGAAACTGCAGGCAAAACATCAAAGAACAATTTTATAATGAAAAAATGTAATATTTCTACTACGGTAGAACCTCCATTAGCAAACACCTCTAAACTTTGGACAGTAATCATTGCATAAATTGCTCTCTCCTTCAAAATGTATTCTCGCTCGTAGACACCTCAAAATGGGAAGAGTTCATCAGATAGTGAGTGAAGGACGCTCGTACCCAAAATTTTGAAAAATTTTAAAAGATATTTAAAATTTTGAATTCAAAATACCTAAATTGCACAAAATGGCTTGAATTGAAATATAAAATGTTCAATTGATTGATTTAATATGAAAAAGTTTTGCAATGCATGTGTAAAACAACAATTGCTGATTAAAATTGTTCTTTTGACACTAACCTAAATAAATAATATAATTTTTGGATTTTATTGTGTTAAAGGATGAAATACAAGAAGAAAGTGAAAATGCAACCATGGATTGAGCAATTGACCAAAAACTATTAAAAGAGGTATTTTAGAAAATCAAAGAAAGTTGAACAACGATTATATTATTTTTTAAATTTTTTAAATTATTTTTAAAATTGTGTTGCAAATTTGCCTTTTCACTCGCAAGCAGCGCCTCTAGCGGTGAAGATGAGAGGTAATATCAGCTGACCTAATGTACATGTAAAACATGTTTTGACAGGACATAGAGAAAAAATCTGGAAAAGATATTTATCGGATTTTTAGCCAATAAAAAATAGAATTGACAGGTTCTGGGCAAAAATAGTTGTTTTTTTAGTCAGAAAATGATGATGACAATATTGCTGTATTATGTATATCAGATACAAAATTATATTGGGGAAAAATTCAAAAAGCAGAGACCACGGGTGAAACCAGTTCATTTTTTTGTACGCAGGAACAAAATTCTAACAGAAAAACATTCATTTGAGCAGAAAACAAAAGCCATATCATCTTTCTATAAAAATATCGCTTCTCAGACACAAAGTTTGGAGCGGGACGTTTCACAAGAGTGACATCCATGGCGCCAATTTATAATTGTAACGAATAGTATTTGCATAAAAACATTTAATCGGGTAAAACTCGGGCGTTGTCCGGGTCATTCGGCTAGAAATAAAAATAAATGTTCCTAAAAAAGACACTTTGGCTCTGCAACTAGGTGATGTCTTTTAGGGAGAGGTGTCCTACCAAGTTTTGTTTGTTAAAAACTAAAAAAAATTAGGAACAAATATTTTTATTATTATAAAATATCCTTGTTTGACATGGTAAACTGGCTACAGTAAACTAATTGAATACATTAAACCTTGAAAATGGCTACTATTGAAAAATATATATTTATTTTCAATATATGATTTTATTCTATGATTTTATATACGATCTCAGCCAGAAGGCTGAAAGCAATATTTTATATATAGAGATGGCCTGGTTTTGTATGTCTTCTGCTCGAGTGAATGTTTTGCTGTTAGAATTTTGTTCCTGCCTACTAAAAATGATAAATGTAAATAAAAATAAAAATGATTTGCCTGTGGTCCTGCTTAAGGGAATTTCCCTCAAATTTTTTTTATCTGACAATCAAACATGATACAGCAATATTGACATCATCATTTTCTGACTGAAAATAACTATTTTTGCCCAGTACTTGGTCAATTTCAATTTTTTTGGCTAAAAATGTGACAATAACTCTTCCAGAATTTTCTCTAACTCCTATTAAAATTCCAGCCTGATTAGGTACTTATTGAGGATTTGTATACATACACTTATTTTTATATATAAATAAAGGGATATAGCCGCGTTCTATTCAAACTTCATTAGAATCCATCCAGCCGTTTTAGAAGAGAGAGAGCACAACAGAAGGAAAAACAACCAAACAAGGGTGCATTTTAACGGAAGACATTTGGAAGACTAAATTTATTTTTTTGTTAAAAAAAAATTGGGGTTTATTCAACATAAATCTTATTCCACTACATAAATAACTTAGTCCATTTTTTTTATCTCTCCAACCTTTTGAAAGAACATCTACACTTTCAAAGATACAAGATTTTAGAATTTATACAGAATATTTATTTATAAGGGTGATTTGAATATATTTATACCAGGTATTCCTCCTATTGATAAATGTGTGGTCAATTTGACATTATGTAAACATATAAAGGATTAGATGAGAGGGTATAATAAATTCACTCCATGATTTAAAAAAAATGGTAAGTTACTAAGTTATATTTTCTAATGGCACATATAAACAATCATGGATGTATTTTTCTGATTGTGTAACTGTAATTACGGAAGTGTTTCACCCAATTTAAATGAAGAAATATTTATCTATTTGCACTTAAATATCATCTGTTTTATACAATTGTCATAGTCTTTGCATACATGCACGTGGTGAATAGGAAATCTTTAAATATTTACTTTCACTTATATAAAATGTGAAATATTATGATTTGGGATAGAAATGACATTTTAAAAATCCAATATAGTGTATGGTTAATTATATCTTGCATTAGGTGTCGAAGTCAATTGGCAAATCAGTGGTGATGGTCTTTATAATGGCGGTCTTTTCAAGACGGGAGATAAACTTGATTTTTAAAGACATTGATTTACCTGACGAGCTCGAGCTATAGCATCTGCGAACGCAGCATTGCTATCAAAGTTGGCGGATTGCTCATTTTGACCTGACATGATTTCTTTTATATCTTTAAAATAAATAAAGACTGTGTACAACAAATAATGTTGAATATAAAATTTGGCTTGGTCAGCCAAAAAGAATTTAGCACTGTAACTAAATCTCTTATTATTTAAATTCATAGAAAAATAACATTTATATATAAATAAATTCTCAAAACTTCATTATAATTTGTGTGATTTTATTTTTTTTATTTCTTTAAAATGAATTATATATATATTTTCGAATTAAAAAATTACATATACCTCGATAGAAACTAACAAAATTAGCAAAAAAAAAAAAATTAGAGTTTTTTATTATTATTATTTTAATAGCATTTTTTTATTTTATTATACCGACATTACAAATTTTATATTAACTTTTCCGAAAATTTATATAACTTCCAAGCTGAATTATTGGCTTCGCCTGAATTTTATTTTTGCTTTAATATTATATGAAATATCGAGAGAGAGAGAGAAAAATTCAGCAATATATTATTATCATTTTCATGCCTTAAATATGCAAATCAGTTCATTAGTGAACTGATTTGTAACACCTGTAAACTTAGACGGAATAAATAGTGGAATAATATTTGTAAGGCTTGATGTGTACAGTTGGAGTATAGAGCGCGGGAGAAAAAAAATAGTTGTCAATATTGAACTGATTTCCATAGTCTATATCTTTTCTTTTATTTAATAATAATATACATCACAAGTAATAATTATTAAATAAAATTATTTTAGTTGAAACCCTCTGAATTTATAACTAAAATATTATTGTCAAAAGAAACACACAGCTTTTGTTAATATGCCGATTCGCCTCTCCTATTTTATATTTTAAAAATTCTACATTTTCCCCATGTTTATTTAGTAATATTGATCATGTCCTCAAATCTATAAGAAAGTATTGATAGATGGAGAAGGAATTTCAGAAATATATTATCATCATTTTTATGCCTTAAATAGGCAGATTAATTCATTAGTGTGCTAATTAGTTCATTAGTGTATTAATTAGTTCATTAGTGAACTGAATCGTAACACCTGTAAACTAAAACGGAATAAATAGTGGACTAATGATAGCAGGGCTTGGCGTGTACAGTTGGAGTTTAGAACTCGGGAGAAATAAATAGTTGTCAATATAGAAATAATTTCCATAGTCTATGTCTTGTCATCTATTTGAATATAAAACATCACAAATATTAATTATTTAATTATATTATTTCAGTTAAAACACTCTGAATTTATTACTAAATAATTATTGTCAAAAGAAACACACAGCTTTTGTTAATATGACTATTCGCCTCTTCTATTTAATATTCAATCAATTCTACATTTTTTTCTCTTGTTTAGTTAGTATTTAATCATGTCCTCAAATCTATAAGAAACTTTTTTACTTGTTTTTCTCTTATAGTGATGAGAGTCTTGTTTTCCTTCTCTGACCTTATTGGGTGACTGGATATTGTGGCATATTTGTGTTATTATGTTTAATTTAGGGGTTTAAAAAGATAATTTATTAGCAGAAAATACACAACCTATATTTTAATATTTAGATATATACTTATATAATTGCCTTATTTCTGTCTGTGTGAAGTTCACGGATAGATTTTGGTCAGAATGGATAAAATAAAAAAGTGTCAAAGGATGGGAATCGAACCCCACGACCTTCCAACCCACGACCTTCCGCTTACGGGCAGATGCCATGACCACTAGGCTACCCTGGACATATTTTTCCGTTCATAAAGTTAATATATGATGCCAATATATATAATAATTGTATAAACGAATGCAAGACAAAATCACCGCGAATGTTTCTTTTTTTTTTTAAGGCAATTTCTTTTTAAGGCAAATATCGTTTTGCACAATTACTTAATCTTTTAAAATAAATAACAATACTTAAATGAAAATATGTTTCTTTAAATAAAATAAAATAACTTTTAAATCGGTAACCTTTATGAGAACCTTTAAATATATATAAGTACCTTTAATCGATAATTTTTATAAGAATAAATATGTAATTCATTAAATAGAAATTTAATTTTTAGTATCTATATATATTTTATTGTATGTATTATATTATATATTATATTTTATATTATTATTTATATTATTATATATTATATTATATATTATATTATATTTTATATTTGAACGATAGGCTCATTATTTCTTTATACCGTTATTATACCCTTATATTTTTATATATAAACGAATACAATGAAGCATCAAGGGCTGCGTATCTTTATTAAAACGACAATTTACGAGCTTTCGAGCACATACGCCCTTCTACAGGAATTAATAACACAATAATAATCCAACCTAGTTTGAAATATAATTTATATACATATAGCTATTGTTTTGCATATCTGCTTAACTAGAATAATATTAAAATGATTGAATTTACATGTAGGTATAATAATTTGGAAAACTAATTCTAAAATATATGAGGTAATATGATACATTAAAGTAAACTTATTTTGTATTTTACAAATTTTACAACTTACAAGGAATCCCATTAGACATGTGATATCATATGCTATGAATGAATTTGTATTATCTTATTGTATTTAAGTCTATTGAATTATATGCTTCTGGTAAATCTATTTTGCGATTTATACTATTGTATTGCTTGGACACTATTGCTTCAATTATTAATCTTTGATATTTGTTACTAATATTGTTGTAATGTGCTTTAGGTTCATTTAAGTTGAATGTATGTCCTGTTGAATTAGAGTGCTGTACTATTAAAGATAAAGGGTCATTTCTGTTTATATTTCTTCTGTGCTCAATGATTCTATTATATAATTTTCTTCCTGTCTCCCCCACATATCTGGCATTACAGTTATTGCATTGTATGGAATAAATTACTTCTTTTCTGTGTGATATGTGTTCGGTTTGCCTGTTTTTTGTTATCGGGTTTCTTAAGATATCTGATAGGCTGGGTGAGTTACTATAAAAGGTTTTTATTCCTAATTTATCTAATGTTCTGGAAATATGGATAGATTTCGGGGAATATGGAATGTAACAATTTTGCCTGTATATTTTAGTTTTTTGTGCTATCATGTTAGATGTGACCTGTTCCTGATAGAAATGTTTTAATATAAATGTTTTAGGGTAACCGGCTGAAGATAAATTCTGGATAACTGTCTGTGTTTCATGATTTTTGTATAGATTTAGTGAACAATGAGTATAAATTCTTTTAGTCAACGTTTTCACTGTGTTAATTATATGACTGATGGGGCAAAATGAAGAAAACTTTATATAATTAGGGGTGAAAGTAGGTTTGTAGTAAACTGTAGTTTGTAATCTATTATCTATTTTCATTATTTTAATATCTAAAATGGCAATGTGCAATTATTTTCTTTTTCTATTGTAAAGTGTAAGCTATTGTTGTAATTGTTGAGAGAGGCTAAGATGTTGGGAATCTGTTTTTCGGTACAAATGCAAAATATGTCATCTATATATCGTCTGTATAATATGATATCTGCCGGGTATAATGAAGTGATCCATAAATCTAATTCTCTCATTACTATTTCGGCTAATGGAGTTGACAATGGGCTTCCCATAGGAGAACCCTTAATTTGTTTATACTGTTTCTGGTCAAATGTGAAAATGTTAACTCTAAGACATATTGTGATTAAACCTATTATTTTATCTATTGTATTAGGGTCTATCTTATTGTTATCCAAAAAGGTTTTAGTAGTTTTAAGTATTAAGCCGTGGGGAGACTGGGGTATAAGGCCTCTACATCGAATGATACCAAAATATGTTCTCTTTGATAATTGTAATTGGCTATTTCTGTGATGAATGTTGGAATATTGGCTATTGACATTGGAAATACGCTATTCTTAATTAATGACTGTAAAAATATTGTACATACCTGGCTATTGGTGCTAGTGGTGAGCTGTGATAGGCTACTATTGGTCTTAATGGGATCCCTTGCTTGTGAACCTTGGGTTTTCCATATATGTAACTCTCAGAGTCTAAATTAGACATGAATAATTTAAATTCATCGTTTGATATCATATTGCTTTTGGCCATTCTGTTTATTTCTTTTTTGAAGTATGAGTATTCTCGTTTCTTGTTAATTTCATCAACTATTGTAAATATGGTTCTGTCCTCTAATATGTTGTTCATTTTGTTTATATAATCAGATTTGTCCATCACAACAGTCATCCCTCCTTTGTCTGCACTCGTGATGATTATATCTTGTCTATTTTTGAGATCATTTAAGGCTGCTTTATCTCTTTGGTTATTTGGCGGCATTTTGTTTGGTTCTTTTAAAATGTTTATTACAGTATTTCTAATGGTATTCTTATCGTAGTTATTGAGCTTACCGATGGCTGCTTCTATTCCACTAATTATTTTGACGGTCTGTGGTTTGCCTATTGGTCTATGTTTTAATCCTTTAGATAATATGTTGACTTGTTGGGGCACGTTTTTTGTAACCATACCCCAACAGAAGGCGTAGTATAATCAAATCAAATGGATACATGGCTTCCCTCCCACATAGCTTACAGACCAATTTTTTTTGCCAGAAACTTAGACACTTGGTGACACCAGACTTCCATGCCGAAAGCTGATGCCTGGTAAGAAGAAGACATCCAGAGACATCCAGCTGGAAACTGTTGTTTCATATGTACATTATTCCCTCACCAAAAATTTAGGTAAAGGTGACCAGAAAAAAAAAAAAAAAAAAAGGAGAAAAAATGGAGAAGGAAGATCTCTAAAGACTGAACCTTATAAAATATCCTTCCCGAGAAAGGAAAGCATCACATTACAGTCCAGGTAAAAAGGGCCTGGGTCAATTTTAGCAAGACGGGGGGGGCGATATATATACCATCCCGAGAAAAAGGGAGGATTGTATTTCAACCCATGTGGAAAGAGAGGGGGGGCTGCGTCTGAAATTTTACACTATCGCCGTAGATGTTGCTCTCTTTAGATTTTTGTTTTGGTGGTAATACTATATGTTCTATTTTGATGAGGCCTGGGGCGTCTATGAAATTGATACTGGAGCCGTTGGCAATTTGATTGGTGTTTCTTTCGGCGAATGAAAATGGAGAGAGAGATGATAAAAGAAGTTTTCTTGCCAAAAGGCGGGATTCGATCGGAGTCGCCTCAGTGAGAAGGACGATTTTTAGACGGCCTGAGACGTAGAGGAGACCAGCCTTGCCGCCGCTTCGAGAGAAGGTAAGCCCTTGCCATTATGGCTTAGCCCCCCTCTTTTTTTTTTTTTTTTCGAACAGAAGCTAATCTATTTAGATTTCTGAATGGGCCCTAAAGGGCTTTAAGTGACTTAAAAAGGAAGTGTAGGGTTCGTATATTTTGTCCCGCTAGAATAGATGGAGATCTAGGTCCCCCCCTTTTTGTGTAGTAGCCAACCTAGATTTCGCATGGGCCCTAAAGGGCTATAAAGTAACTTCCGGTCACCTCTATCTAATTTTACTATGTAAATAGCATATCTCGTCAGTATAGACATGTTCCCAAATTTTAAGATATTTAAATAAATATCTAGAGAAACTTTCTTGTCTCCTCTGTTACCTATTTCATACATATTTGTCTTAGGTGCTATTCCAACTGTTTTAAATAAAATGTTGTATGTTTTATTACCTATTGAAGGGAATGTTACTAAAATCAAGTCTCCCTTAAATTACCGGCCACATACATTGCCGCGAGTGTCTGTGTTTCAGTGTTTTATAGATTGCCCAATTTAATAACGATTTCGTGGTTTGTCAGATGATGTTGTATAATAGTGTCGCGGTTGTTTCCATCTTTAGACCACTGTACTGACAATATTATATGCTCAATCCTTGCTTTAGCTCAACTTAATCAATTACAGAGTTTTTTTTCCCTTTTTCTTTTTTTATTTATTTTATTTATCCTATTTGCACAAATTGTATTACATGTGATGATTAAAGACATATGCCGATAGTGCATCAACTGACAGCTGTGCTGCTATTATACAACATTAAGGTCTTGCTGCGGGTTATATACATAGGGTTGTTGGCCTAATTGCTATATATATATATACTTAAGTAAGGATACTTTAATAAGTCACATCGTGTACCCTCCCTTTTCAACTATCCAAACCGGGGAACCATCAATGGCGCCCAACGTGGGGCTCGAATTTAGTATATGTTTCTTACCCTACTTTAGAAATATATACCTAATGAAAAGCCATACTATTTTAGTATTGGTGAAGTAGTCCACGCATCCTGAGATTAACAGTCTATTATAAATCGTGAATTTTAATTTATGCTTTCCGTTTCACTGGCATTTTATCAGGCAATGAAAGTTATGTTGAGGCGGTGTATACCGCATCTCTCGCCGCTGTCTTTTACGATTCACATTGTTTGTGGCAAAACCTTAATAGTATCATTGATTTCTGATATCAAAGTTAAAACGTCTATGGGGATGAGTATCTTTTATTCTGGTCTTCTCGAGCTTTCGAGCTTGTCCGCCCTTCTACAGGAAACATATACAATATATCAAGAAAATATAACGTCGCCTGATGCTAAAATCTATTATGATTCTATGTACATATATAGAATATATACATTAGAAAGTATTTGCATATTATTGTTTTCTTAAGACATATTTTTTTTTGATTAAGGTATTACACAAATTCTACTATTGTTTGCTATATTTATGAATTATCTTATAGGTTAGAAAATTCTATTATTTAAGTAGTTTTATAATAGTTATGGCTATTACATATAAGTTAC